TGTGAACACGTTTAGTGGACACGTTGAACACGTTAAGTACTAACGGTGCCGCGATTTAAACTTTAGGATCAGCTTTTTATGTCGATAAATAGCTTATGTTGGTATTTAAGCGCAGATGATGTATTAACAAAATGATCATGTCAGGCTACGATTTGGGAAAAAATTAAATAAGCGAATAAGCGCCCCCCGTCTTATCCTAAATTTGAAATAAGCGCCCCAGTTTGCAAATCAAATGTGTGTTAAATGTCGACTTGAAACCCTGATATAAAATTGTGATAAACTTACAACAAACCTTTCACCCGGGATTTAGGAGAACGGAGAAATAAAAGTAGTCGATTAGGTGAAGATCACTAAATTTTCTAAATGTACATGTCTTCTTCCTTGCAAATATACCACCCAAGTCGATTTTAACTTGAGCAAAATAGCTCACTTTGTCCACAATAGACCGTTTGATTCTTCACGACAAACTGCTACAGTTACAAGACAGTATAAATAGGCTGAAAACGGTCTTTTCAATCTACCTCGCGGGATACGTGCCCGGTTTTTAACTCTCGATTAATCTGCCTGCACATATGTTCATGGGGAACGTTTTTGAAGACAGAAGAAAAAAAATACCAAAATTTGTAATCGTTTATTTAGTATGAGTGGTGTCTAAATCCTGTCACCTATGCCCCCCCTTTTTTTATTTTTGTTTTTGTTTTTTGTTGTTGTTGTTGTTTTGTTTGTTTTTTTGTTTTTTTGTTTGGACCACCGTTGATGTAATTTATAGCTCTCAGATTCTTGATAAATTTATGAGCTTTGTGCTCATGCATTGCCATGTTGGGGCTGCTAACCTTCAGTTAAAGTGTTAGTCAATCCAAACGCTACAGAGCCGTTCCCGCCAAAAGACCAAACGAGAAAGCCTGGATCCCACCGGTGTCGTTCCTAGTGCTACTCATTGTAAGAACGTCGAGTGAGAGCTCTGAGAAGGGGAATGCCACACCAGTCCCGTGTTAGTAAACACGAAAGGACCTGGTATTAACTTAGCCATTCAACCTACGCCCGAACTAAAATAAGCCATAATTAGCTGGTTGACCTCTTCCTTATTCAATCCACCCAGGTGCATTTTGTAGCGGTTACAATTTA